CTCTGTAACTCAATATTCCAAAAGATCGCATTTTGGAATAAGACGTATACGAACCAGTTTCTGATAAACCTATCCCAAACTTATTTTTTTTTTTATCAGCATCTCACAGTTCATTTGATATTACCCCTTCCTCTTATGATGTTTAGAACAAATACGTATGCTTAATCTGGACAGAACTATTGATAGAGCTATTTATATTACCGTCATTGGTAACAGTGATCACAGATAGTTGCAAAATACTACTAACTCTTAAGGACAAACATGTTTTTCCAGATACCGCTGCAAGCGATCTTCAGGGATTTGTATTCCCAACATCTCTTGCCAGGCTTCTGTCTTCATCTTAGACCTTACCTCTAGGGAAAATCACTCAGACCATGCATGACTCAGGGGTACCAATGCAAACTGATTTTCAAAGGAGATTCTGTTCAGTTCTCTAACTAACTAGAATTATGCTTTGTGAAACCATTGACCTGATCTTAGTAAGAAGGAAATCAATCATTCTCATTTTTTAGAGGTAATTAATTTTTATAGACAACTAGATACTAACCTATAATTTAATGTTTCTAAAGCAACGCCTTATAGTTTAGTTACCTAAGTGAATAAGATATCCACTAAAATATGGCCATTTAGTTTCAAATTGTATGTGACAGATAAACTGACAGAGTATGTATATATACAAATATCTGCATATATGTATCAACTCCAAACATTTTGTATAATAAAGCATTATTTTTGTATCCGATGATCACTCAGCCTCATGAGCACTGAATTATAATCAATTGTTTATGTCTGTTTCTTTCATGTGTTCATGAACTTTATAAGCTCCTTAAAGGCAAAGACAATGTCATGGTCACTGTTGTATCTCCACATTAGCAGAGCACCTGCACATAAAAAGGTGCTCAGTACTCATTTGTAGAGTAAAATAATGACTTCAAAATTTCCCCTCAAATGACTGTCCTGTTTACCTTTTTATTTTGAAACACAGAATATTTAAATTTAAGATAACTCTGCACTGTGTCAGGTAACTTTTCCTCCACTAGAATTCATGAGTTATTTTAAGGAATTTGTTTCTCTCTTCCAATCAAAATACCCAGTTATACCCTCTCTCCTTAGTGCATATTTTCCAATTTCATAACCAACTTTGAGATGACTATTCAAGTCATCTTCAAATTATCACCAAACATACAAAGTAGTAAAGTTCAAGATGGACACAGACCATCAGAGATGGTGAGTGAAGGCCTCCAGAAGCTTCCAGAAACCCAGTGGTGGCAATTTAAACTTCATTGATTAGTCACATGCCAATTACGAAGGTCCTAGTTACACAGAAATAATTTTAGATTTTTCCCAGCAAATATGAATAGAAGCAACTATTTTCCCCTTACCCCAGCCTTTTTTTTTTTTAATCCCTAAGTCACACATAGTAGAGTTGTCTGGTTTTGTTAACCTTATAATGGAGAGGGGACATTGAAGGAAAGCATCCCCTTTCCTCATCAGAAACGGCAGGCAGAGAGAGGCAGGGGGAGTTAGGCCAGTTTCTTATGTGGCAACTGAATGTGTTCTATCATCTGTTTTTTTGATGGATGGGAACATTCCTGAACTTCTCCAGTCCATTTCACCCAGGAGAAATGAGCTTTGAATACTTATTTGATATTAAAGTCCACAAAAAGTGATTAAGCAAAGTTCATGACTGTCCATTAAAATGCACAAATGTTCTATTAAAGAAGAGAAACCCCAAATGAGATCTTTATGTGCATGCATATTCATGAAATGCTGCCCAATTCTAGACTTTTCCACATGCAGTTAATATGTGCACCTTCAGCCCCATTTTATAGCATCTAATGCAGTGTTTCATCCATATGCGTTCAATGTATTTTTTTTCAGTGTGAGCGTAGAAATAAGTGACTGGAGTGATTTGCTGAATCAGCAGTTCATCTTCCAACTCAAACCGATGTTTTTAACAGAGCTATTTTATTTTTGTTAATGTAATGGTGATATTCTGTGGTTTTATGTTGGATATCATCATCTCCCTTGGATATTTTCCTGACTCTTAAAATGCCTGATTCAATGTCAGATATTTTGAGTGCCTGTGTATAATAAATATGCAAACTTGCATACATGCACTCTAAAAATTTATGATTACATTTAAATCAAGTTCTTTTAAACTTTAATGCATTTTAATGTGAGTAGTCAGACATTATTTCTTAAATAGAAATCTTTGAATCACCCAAATTTAATGAATTGTTAAAAGAAATGTTGAGGTATATACAAGCTATTGATATACCTCAATTGATATATCGGGGTACATTCATTTTCTAAAAAATCAATTCTGGAAATTGGTGGTATGCAGCACACTGACTGACAGTGTCATATAATTCAAGTAGTTGTGCAACTATCTAATGGTGTACAGATAACATCCAATTACCAATTTAAAATTAAAAGCCTTAGCCAATCAGTGGAAAATTTTTATTATTAAGCAAATCCTTTATTTAATATTTTACTGAATTAAAAGCTTTAGTGTGGTGTGGCATTAATTAGGGGAACTCATTCTATGAGTCTGAGCTTAGTTCTGACTTCAATTTAAAGATGTGGTAATACTTCTTATAGTGTGTCTTAATTTCTTTTTATTCCTAAGTAGCTGGTTATTCAGTCAACCCGCAAATGTTAATTAAGCACCAGTGGTGAGCAGCAGTGCTATAGGTACTTGGGGGAAAACACATGAAGTAGAAAATGCGGATTCTGATGTCAATGACTATATCATCTAATTCAAGCGAATGGCCAGCACTCATAAAACAACGGAGATCTTGAGAGAGAGTCCCAGAATAGAGGTGTTTGGATTGATGGAAGACAAGAAAGAAGGTATTCTAAACATAAAAAGCAACATGTGTCCAGAAAGAAATATCAGTTCCTCCAAGGTTGTTTTCATGTCTCTAATGTTCAGCACTGAGCAGGCATTCAGCAGGTGCCCAGAAAATATATGTTAAGCTATTTAACAGCATGTTGCTAAGATAGCAAGGCGACTGACCAAATGAAGTTTTCATTTTGAAGACCAAAGAGAAATAAGGAGAATTTTCTAGGCTGATTCAACTAGAGAGGTGACTCTAGGCTGAGAGAAGAATGAAGACCCGCTGCAGTGCTTAGTGTGCTTTGATCGGAGTGATGATGTGAGCGTGGTGATCAATGAAGACCAATGTGGCGCTCGTGCATAGACCTGTTTGTGTGATAGCTGATATATAGGTCTGAGTCCAAACCAGGGGAACATGGAGAAATCAATACTGGAGAAACACTGGCTGCTAATCTGTGTGACTAGGGGCTGAATTTCAGGATAAGACCAGCAGTGTGGTTATTGGAAAGGAAGGTCAGGGATTTTTACATAAGTAATTAGGTGAAGCTAAGTAAGAAGATCAATAGGAAACAAAGATTGGGAAATCTCATTTAATTCTGATGGATGTCACATGTCTGACTATTTTTAGTGGACATGATGTGTGTGTGTGCAAGAGTGTGAGTATTACATAGCTTGGGCCATACATATGCCAGTTTGTGCCGTGGAACATTTTAAGCGCAGCTCCTTTCATCTAACAGTTTTGGTAAACTTGGGATCAGAGAAAAGAGCTATCAGGCTATTGAAAGAACAAAAACTTGCAGTGTTGAGCTAGGCCAGTATAGTGCAAATTGCACACAATCAAGGATAAACTGAAGCTTCTTTTTAAAGATGGCCATTGGCCTTGTTAATCCACATGCCTATTCCAATCAGAGTTCTCAGAAATTGGTAATGACAAATGGGAAATTGTGCATGGAGCTATAGATACAACAGGGCTACTTTGGATCCCCATATCAGCTCTGGAGGTGACTCACATATTAATCTTCACATTCTTGCTGCTCAAAAAATGATGACCTTGAAAAGTTGATCAGTGAAGCAATGCAGAACTTTTTTTTTCTTTTTTTAAAAATTTAACTGCTGATCCAAAGCAGTCAGGACTTCTCTTGATGCTACCAAGATCATAAATGTGCCGCAGGATGAGTAAGCACCGTGGCCCCTTCCCTCATGGCTCACTCTGCCACACTCAGCCAGGTGATATAAGTAGCAGACCTCAATGTATCTCTGGGTTGGAGTCATCTCTCTCTAAAATCAATAAATATATCCTTAGGTGAGGGTTAAATAAAAAAGAAAGGCAGCATGCAATACTGCTTGTTTTTTTAATCAAAATGCAAAATATCTCTCAACATGAGCAACAGGAAGAAGGCTGAAAATTTATCTCACATACAAAGCTAATCTGGAAAATTAAGAGCAATCCTCTCTCCCTTTTCCCCTCAATAACAGTGTTTATTCCCATTAGCTGGAGACCGCACTTTAAGAACTTCCATTTCCTAGAGAAGTCAAATTCACAGAGACAGAAAGTAGAATGATGGTTGCCATGGGCTTAGGGAGGAAAGAATGAGTTCGTGTTTAAAGGGTAGCAAGTTTTAGTTGGGAAGACACAAAAGTTCTGGAGATGGGTGATATTGATAGTCACACAACAGTGTGAATGTACTTAATGCCACTGAACTGTACACTTAAAAAATTGTATAAATGGTAAACTTTATATATTATCACAATAAAAAACCCACAAATTTCTAATGCATGTGGTGGGCATTCTTTAAAAATATTGGTGTCTTTGCGTTCTTACTAAGTATTGGTAAGGAAAATAGATATATCCAGTTTAAGATTTCATGCTTTGAGCTCAGTTATGGAATAATATCATATGGTAGTTTATCATTACTTCATGACAGAGAAAAATAACTAAATAAAAAGATTTATAACCCTTAAATTTTGCTTTATTAAGAGAAAATATATTTCTTGTGTATCCATAGCCCAGCCAAATTAATGGGAGTATTAGAGCTAGTCCCTCAGTCTGCATTCTTATGATTGCTCCTCTACTTGCTTCTCTAAAATGGATTCATCAGATTTTGCCTTATCTTGGTTTTGCAATAAAAATGTGTATTGATACTTATGCTCTTTTCAGGACAGGGTGTGGGCCAACGTGGGGAAGAGCCTGAACTGCATTATCGCTATGGTGGACAAGCTGATCGAGAGCGATGGTGGCACTGAAGGCAGCGGGGGCAGCAAAGACGGAGAGCAGGACCTTTCTGTGGCGGACTCCCCTCTAACCCACCCAAGGGGTAAGGAAACTCTTTTCCCCAATCATTGACTGAGTAAACAAAATGAGAAAGTCATGATAAAATGAGATAAAAAAAAGAGGAGTCAATAGTGCCTTTGATGAAAGTGCTGATAGCATGCTTTCCCACCGCTCCGGCTTGGGTGATGGAAGGCTATTTATCAAATTGCATCTCAGTTGCGTTTTCAGAACTGCTTGCAATGCTCATTTTTTTTTTTTTTTTTTTTTTAAATAA